GTCTGAAGTAGCTTCATGCACAGAAAAAAAATACAAAACAAAACCATAAAAACAGGTGCAAAACTAATGAAGACACAAGTCCTACACCAGTTGTCACACCCTTTGTGACATCCTCTCATCCTTCTCTTTGGGCTAGACTGACCTGTGTTGCAGTAGGTACTGAAGCCACTGCAGAAGCAGGGCAGAGAGAGCCTGTTTCTTCACCAAGCCTTCCTTCACTGGGAAAGTGGACATAAGATAAAAGAAGTTCAGAGATGACTTTGTGGCTCTGACAGGTGGGATGTAGAAGGAGTTCATGGTCTCTGAAGTCATCTAAGCAGCACAGAGAGGCTCAGGGTTCTTCATGGCCCCTGGATTACTCAGTCAGACTGTGTACTTTCTACCAAAGAGACTGAAAGCTGGATTCTCCTCTGCCCTTCATTGATTTCCAGCTCTGAAAAATAGGTGTCAACCATTAGCAGAGAAATGTTTTCATTTTGTCAGTTGTCTCTACAGTTACAGCTGGATGAAAAACAACCCACCTTTTGGAAACTACACTCCCTGCTAGCATCAAGTGTAAGGATTCTGCTTCAAAAAAAAAGAGAAAAGCTGAATAAGCTAAACCCCCAAAACCCTGCAAGAGAGAAAGGAATCTGTAACATCTTTGAGAGAACAACATGTCTTACCAGTTAAACACTTAAACCCTTTACCTAGACAACACTTCCATCTAATCCTGTGATAGATTGGCTTGACTTCTGGATCCAACTGAGAAGAAATGCTGAACTAAATTCTTCCAGCTATTATCTGTTCCAAGTCTAGTTGGATTCCTAAGATGCCTGGCAAAAAGCTACTCTCTTTGCTCCCATTCCCCTGGCTCACCAAGGTTAAGTTTTCTATTTCTCACTACAGCTCAGAAGAGCAATAGTGAAGCAGTCAGTCTGTCTGTCTGTCTGTAGATAACCAAATCTGTAGCCTCCCCTTTGGCCAACACTGCAGTACAGAATATTGTTTAAAACATGTTCTTTCACACAAACAAGTCAAGATATAGGTTCAATTGATGCATTTATTATTTTTTCCAACAAGGTTTAATGCTATATTTTTTTGTTAGAGAGATTAAGTTATATGGTATGTTCTAATGGTAATAATAAAAACATGGTAATAGCTGTTCATATGTTTTAGCAAAAATATTGTGAAACTAGTAACAGAAACTTCTTAATACATTAGCCAATACTGTTAAAAAGCATAATAAAGAAATATGTGAAATAGCAAAATACAACATAAAAGTAACTTTAAAGGAAAATGGGATCAGTGGAAGTGGGCTAATGCGGTTGGATATGATGCCACCCTATTTCTCTTTAGCCAAGTAGGTGGTTGCTCCTATCTGTCACAATTTTGGTGCAGCACATCAGAATTAAATCTGGCACATGCAATGGATATTAAATGCACAGGATTATCTCCAAGGCAATGTGACAAGACCTTTATGCTGAGGGTCAGGGCTGCTGAAGTTAGCACTGCTTTTATAAGCACCCAGCCATGAACTGGGCAGTATGCAGGTACAGTATACACATGAATAGAAAATATTTTTCATGTGAAAAATATGCAGAAATTATAAAGGCAAGAGATGCAATTTCAGCTGCACTAGTCTTCTGCTTGTACTGTTTATTTTGGAGGATTAGGTTGGGGCAAAGCTGCCAGTTACAACTAAATATTTCCTCTTTTTCTTTTTTTCCTTTAAGGTATGAGAACTGGAATCAGTATTAATCAGTTATTCACAGACATGCTTTTTGTTGGTCTTTGAATCTACATATATAATTTTCATTTGGCCTCTAGGCCTTTTTGAAGGTTTCTGCAGACTTTTCCACGTTTTCATTTCAGCTAGAAACTCAATTTACGGAGCAGGGCAAACCTGTGGCATGCTCTGTGCAAAATGGCTCAAACTGGGCGTTTGCTTTCAAAATGGGCTTTCAACACCATTAGTTTGTTTCTTTCACTGCCACTCTCTTTCCAGACATCTCCATCCTAGAATTATCTTCTATTAGAACTATGGAATTTGTTTGGCTGAATTTAATCTCGTTATTGGTTTAATGCTATGTTAGTGTTAAACCTTCTCTGTTTCTTATCCCCAACAATGTTTTAAGATGCTTAAAACTAACAATTATTTATAACTATAATAATACAATAAATGTAATTATTGTAATATAATCTTGCACCTAAAGACAAAAATGCAGAAGTCCTAAATATCTGCCATGAGTCTGAGTTATAGCAATGACTGATATTGTAGGTAACACTGTTGTTCTTTGGCAACACTGATCAGTGTTCAAAGAGTTTTAATGCTTTGGATAGAGGGAGGAAATTTTGCCAACATAAATCAGAATAAAAACTCGTAATCTTGTTTACAAAAACACAGACAAAGGGGAATAAGCAACCTTGTTTTCTTTCATGTAACTCCTCAGTGGGATTTTTTACCCCTTGGCAAGAGCCAATACCTTTGGCTGTAGTTGCAGTTTAGGAAATAGCTTCCCTTATTTTAACTTTGACCTACCTCCTAGCAGCCTCCAGTATTTGCAGATGTCTTTAATTCATCTAGATTGGAGGCTGGCTCTGGACCCAAGGCTCTGTGGTTGGTAATTATTAGTATATTGCAAGACACTGTTAAATGTACTGTCTTGTTGGATACAAATGATTCTTTTTGCCTTCATGGAAAAATGCAAACTCCATAGTCTGGAAATGAAGAATTTCTCTTTTTGAATTCCATAGGAACTGTTTATTCTGGGCTGGTTATGGAAGCATCTTCTGGACACTGCAATGTTTCAATTCATAAACCTTTAGCTTCTAGACAGATGCCTGTTACCTGACACTGAAGACCCATAAAGACATGGCCAACCCAATGTCCTTGAAGACATGCAATCAAACTCCTTGTGAGCCTGGAAGCATTATTTTAAAGGAATGACCAAAGACTCTACAAACTCTGAGAAACACCGATGAGGTCCACAATGTACTTTCTGAAATATCAGTTGCCTTTGTAGAAGTCACACAGATTTAGTGAGGGCTCAGAAAAAACAGTCCACCCAAGCAATGGTGCATAGGCAAGACAGATGCAAGCATAAGTTACTTAAAATACCCTAGAAGTTATCTAATGCTTTGTTTCTTCTAATCATGACTTAAATATGAGACCTGGTCATAGACTCCCTGGGGACGTGACATAAATGCCAGAAACTGACTGTGTGTCTGGGCTGAGACTGGTTGCTCTACAGAGCACTGTAGGCTCATCTAAAAATAGGGAATGTTCCCCTCTACAGCTGACATAAGGAGTGATCTCTGCTGGGGTGCACTTGGGAGTGACTCACAGGGGGACAGAGATACAATTAACTTAATAACCATAAAAATTACATAAATAAATGCCTGCATATTTAGGAAAAAACATTGAGATGTCAACATCACCTAGAGCTTTCCAACAATAAATATCGTGAGGGCAAAAGACCTGGAAGAAGACATCTTTTAACTTGATAGCAGTGATAAATAACTGCTTAACTATTCAAAAAGGGAAAGGAAACTACCAACTAAGAGTGAATCCCCATTTCTTTGGGATTCTGCTAGACCACAGTTCCTTTTTAAATAAAATGCAGATCGCTCAGAAAATAAAACTTCACCCCCTAAGTGCAAGGTATTATGAATTAATACTGTGGCTGGAAAAAGTAACATTTCCTTTTGTTACTGACCAATAGTCTAGGTTATAACATTTTGTTGCATTTCCAAATGAAAGAAAGCAGTCCAAGAAAAGATTTTGCATCAGCAAGGTCATCTGGGGACATAACTGTGTGTGAAACATGTTACATTTTTGGCAATATGTGAAAAGATTTCAGTTCTGGGTGCCTAGTTTTTTTGAGATAGGTCCTGCTTGTGTAGAAACCTTTCTCCCCTGCACTTAAGTGTCAAATTTCATTGCATTAAAAAAAAGTACACAACATAACAGATTGCAAAAATGCCATTGAATAATTTTTAATAATAGCAGAAAGCTAATTGCTTGTCAGCAGAAAATACCTTTTCCAGAATTGACAGAAACCCTACAGAATATCCATGTTGTTGCTGTTAGGTTCAAGATGGTTGATTTTGTAAAAATCTGACAAAAGTAATCTTTGCATTCATCTAAATACATTTAGGTAAGGTGCAGCTGCTGAAATGAGTACCTTATTGATGTGAAATGCTGCTGGAGTGCCAAAATGAAAAAAACAGGTTTTAAAAAGATGAAATTACTTCAGTTATGACTTGGCCATCTGATGAAACAAGGTACTCTGGCTTTTGGAAGAGCTTTGTATGAGTTTATGCACACTGAAGGCTTTCATTTTACATCTTTTCACTAAGGGTATTATGTAGATACGTACTCAGCCTGCTAAACACTAATGAATATCCTTTTTGGAACCGCTGGGAGAAATGGCATTATTATAATTCCCGTATTGCAGATCTAAAACCCCTAAATTATAGTTGCTGGCTTTTTTTCAAATATTTTCATCAACAAGGAAAAGCCCCTCCAATTCTTTAAGATGAGTAGAAACTCATTATACATTTAAGTTATCTCACTATTGTTAAGGTTACTGTGAATGTCTGAAAAAGTTTGACATTTTTTGCTTTATATGCTTTTCTCCTGAAGGAATGGCAAATGATGTATGTGCATTTTTTTAACTAAAACAAGGTAAAAAGTTACTTTGTATTTAAAATAAAAGAAGTTAGGTTTAAAACAAAGAAACCCTAAATACTGCTCCTAAGGAAGATCACTCAGTGGGCAGTGCCTGACAAAACTAGTTGGCCCAAATGACTAAATCATTACATCTTTCCAGATGACAGTGCTGTATTGACAAAGAACATTGCCCAGACGGTGATTTAAAACTTTCAGCAGAGCTAGTTTCATGAAGTATTTAGATTTTGTATAACTCTAATCCAAATAAACACTTTGAAACGCAACAAAAGCTGATAGACAT